TTATTTTTTTTTCCCTAGACTGCAAGTAGATCTCCTGCAAAGTCATTAGATGAAGTTAATCTTGGGATTCAAGAGGAAAGAATTTAAGGTTATTTTTTCACCAGTGACATTAGGATATTGAATAATTTTCTCATGCCTTGGGAGCTTCCTTTCTAAAGCAAATAGAGCAAGTGCTACTCCAGATTTCAGAGACGTTTCACTTGTGAAGACAAACTCCCATCTGCACATCGGCTGGCAGTGACACCACCTTTCTACTGCCTTATTAAGAGCATAGCTGCTCTATTAATTAACACCATGCCAAAACATCTCCTTCACCCTTCAGATGAAGATCATCCCCCACAACTTCCATCAGTTCACAAAGCGCTCCTCTTTGAGGTCATTGGTGGTATTCAAATGGTTGGCCAGCTCTTGCATCACAGCATCTTTCCCGATCTGGTCGTTCCTCCTCTTCTCCATGATCACGTCCTCCAGGCACTGAAACTCCAACATGTGGCTCTTCTTCTCGGAGAAGAGCAGTTTTAACTTGTACGGCTGCTTCCCGATCCTTATCTCCCCTCCGATTTTAAACTCCCTTCTGCCAAAGCGGCACCAGGCAGCAAAACACTCCGAGTTCCTCCAGCACAGGTCTCTGTCTCTGGTGCCGACGTGATCCATGGCGTTGCGCACGATCACCTCCGGCGGGAGCGCACGGTGCCTGTACAGGCCGTTCACTATCCGCCCCTTCCTGCCCTGACTCACGTCGGTTAGAAAGTTATTGTGGATCTCGGCTCGGTGCAAATGAACCACCTGGAAGTCTCCAACGTAAACGGCCCAGTGAGGGTACTGGCCGGTGGCCACGAACTCCAGCAGGTCCCCCGGTCGGCACTTGGCCAGGAGACTCTCCGGGGACAGAGACGCGCCTCCGGAGCTCCTCCCGTAGACGCACTCGTCTCGGTAGTAGATGGCGCACTCCAGCTCGTCCTCTGGATCGAAGGGTTTCTCTTCGTGGTTCACCGGCCGGCTGTCCGGAGGAAAGTGATCCAAACTCTCGTCCTGATCCTGATCGTCGTCGTCGTTGGAGAAAATGTAGGAGACGCCGATCCGCGTTCCGTCGCCATCCGGATCAAATCCGTTCGGGTCCGACGTTGGCACCTCCGCGTAATTGATATGCGTTAATTTCTCCACCTGGTTCCCCATAAAGACAGCGGCAGCAGGGAATAAACTGCAGACAGACACGCAGACAGGATCCACCTGTTCTCTGCGCTCTCACCTCAGGAGGAGGAGCAGGAGGAGGAAGGGGGCGCAGAGCCTGAATTTAAATCCAAAACGGTGAGGAGGAGCACCAGTGGTCCATGTCCAGCTGCCAGCTCCTGAAGCCTGTGAGGAAACCAAAAAAAGTTGGCAGTTTTTAAGGAGATTGAAGGCCCAGTTTTACTCCAGCTTAGCGCTCATTCCCAACAGGTGTGACCTGAATCACCTGTTGGCTCACATTTCCTGTTGAACTCTGCGGCAGGTGGAGACTACAGGGTGTTTGGATGCATTTGAGCTAAATGGACGCTGCATTGCTGAAATACCAATCAGCTTCATTCAAAGCTTACATCTGTGGGGAACTCACCTATAGTCCTTCCTGTGCTGTGGCTTGTTGCGCCTCTGCTGCACAGACAGGCTGCCTGTTGTATGAAGCTCAGTGTTTGTTGCAACATTCTTGTTCAGGATCTACTGACTGCTGGGAGGAGGTGTCATTTAAAGGGACAGTAAACCTTGACCAGAAAACATTTGAATTAAAACAGTCATCCTTTTAGGAAGGTTCAGATTTCACTTCCATTTTTACTGCCTTTTTGTTTCATTTTTTCTCTACATTGTGTGTATCTTGATCATTCTGGTATCACTTTAGCTTTTATTTTTGGTTAATTATTTGAGCACTTATTCAATAGAGGAAAATGCCTGCTAAACAGGTAAATTCATTGTAATTACATTTTTCTATTTATAAACAGAAAACCATTATAAAAGCATTCATGTCAATACAAATAATACAGGTTCAGGTTCATATATTGTGGGTATAAAGTAGTAAAAGACAAAACTGCTAATTATTTTATTACTTATGTACCATATAGGTCTAACTAAGCCAGAATATTACCTTAAAGATTGACTGCTTTCATTGGGCAGTTTAAATATGAATCCTTAAATATTTTGGCAATATATTAGTTCTTGAAGCA